GCTTAATGAACCTCTGGACTTCGTCCGTTAGTTCATATAGATGCCTCCTGACGTGCCTAGGCGAGGGCTCCTCTGCAAGCAGCTGTCTGCTTGGGTGGCCACTTCTGTGGCTCCCGATCAGGAACTGCTTGCAGAGCATTATATTATGCTCCTTTACAGGTAGCATTTGCGCCTCACCGTGCAGGTGGTGTTCAAGCGACATCAAGAGGCATCCCGTCGCTGTCTTGAGTGCGGTGTTTTGTACAGTATGTAGCTTCGTCCACTGCGTCCTACTAGTCCCTGGCGACCACACTGGCGCTGCGTAGTTCAAAACCGGCCGGCCTATTGCCTTGTATGTTGCCAGCAACGTTTCTTTGTCTTTGCCCCAAGTACTGCCGGCTAGCGACTTGAGGACCTTGTTGCGGCTCTGTACTTTATTGACAATAGCGGTTGAGTGCGCAGAGAAGGAGAGCAGGCTGTCGAATGTTACTCCGAGTATTTTGGGGTTATTCACCATCGGAATTGGTGTGTCATCGACGAGAATCCCCAGCGGTAGCCTGACCTCCTCCGTCCAGGTTGTGAACAAGGTCGCGGAGGATTTCGTAGGGGAGAGGGCTAGACACTTTGCAGTGATGAAGCGAGAAAGTTCGGAGAGATAGCCGTTTACTTTCGAACACAGGTCATCAATTCCATTCCCAGTCGCCATGATCGAGCAATCGTCGGCATAGAAGACAATCGAGACTCCCTCTGGTGGTTGACGGAGCTTTGAAATGTAAAAGTTAAACAGTAGCGGGGAAAGGACACCACCCTGAGGAACCCCCTGTTTTATTTTTCGCTGCTTACTCGTTTTGTCTCTAAATATTACCGACGAATGTCGACCACTCAGATAATTTGCCGACCACCGTTTGAGCCTCTGTGGGAGAGAGGAGGCCTCTATATCCTCTAGTAGCGTGGAATGGCAGACGGTGTCAAACGCCTTTGACAAGTCCAACACTACTAGAATCGTTCTCTCACAGGGACGGTTACGGTTATGGCCACGAGTTATCTGAGTGTTTATGGCGTTAAGTGCTGTTGTTGTACTGTGCACTTTACGGAAACCATGCTGATGCTTCGCTGGGGTCAGGTGGTTTGTGACGTACGGGAGTAGCAAGGCCTCGAGTGTCTTCGCTACCGGGGAAAGGAGTGTAATCGGACGATTCGAATCTCCTTTGTTGGCAGGTTTCCCCGGTTTGAGCAGTGGGACCACTCTCCCCACCTTCCAGATGTCTGGGATGATGAGAGTGGCCATTGACAAGTTGAGGACCTCCGTTAGGTACGCTACCCCCGCAGGACCCAAATTTTTCAGCATCAGCATGCATATTCCGTCGGGACCCATGGCTTTGGAGGCTTTCGCCTTCCCGATGGCCACGAGATCCTTGGATGCCTCATCCTTCTCTTCCGTCGGGCATGGGCGCAGATGAGCGAGATGTTGAAGAATCTCGCTTTGATGCGGATTGTGGATAGACGCTCGTCCACCGGGGTGAACGACAGTACTCGGCGACGGAGTCTCTCTCCCACCACAAATCCAACTCCGAATTTGCGCTCCTTTACATGGCAGCTGGAGTAGACGTCGCAAGGCCCCATACATTGTTTGCCTTGCCCCGTCCAACGCATTTCTTGGATGGCGGTGATGTCAGCTTTTGTCCTTACGAGGACATCAACCTGCCGGGCAGAGGCACCTTCCCCATTAAGGGTCCGGACATTCCAGGTGCATGCCCTCAAATCTGTGTCCTTTAAACATTTGCCGTGGTCGTCATCATAAAGGGGGTCTCATCCGAGGCTTTGCCTTGCTTCTTCACTGGAAGTGGTTTTTACATGGCGGGTCCCAAGCCCAGCGCACAACTCGATGCTGGGACGGGGGTGGTTTCGCAACCAAATACACGTTTATATAGCGAGCCGCTTGCTCTAAGCAGACACCCGCTTGCAGCCGCACCTACTGGTGAACAGCCGTGACCCAAGGCTCCACTCGGATTGGTTACCGCATCTCGCACATGGGTTGCTCACGTTGTCCAGAGTGCGCGAACGAGGACGCAAGAGTCGGTATTGAGTATAGCCATGCAACTGTAACTGCATACCCAGCGCAATGACTATACCCCATTGCACTCCGAAACCCTGGTTTCCAAATATACAAAGTGTGGTGCAGTGCCGTATTTCGACAAAATCGTATCAAAAATGTCAATGTAGTACCAATGTACTTTTGGCTTACAAAATGTACCAAAAAAGTACAATTGTACCATCAATTTCATCAATGGATCAGGCTAGCATTAAATAAACACAATCAGCCTTATCCTGAGTTTCGACCGAAAGAAAATTCACCCAAACTTTTTATTCCGCCCATAGTTAATACATGGAAACCAAAAGTGAAAAGTGCACCAGTTCGGCGAAAATGAAAATGATAAGGCTGAATAATGCAACACAAAAATTACATTTGGTGAAAAACCCGTTTTAGCTAGAATCAGCTGTTCGCATGGCAGACGAAAACAAAATTGGCAACATGTGGGCTAATACATTTTAGGGCCATTTTCACAGTCATTAGTTAACTACGATGCTAATGTAAAGCTGAAATTAGTCGAGAACGCAGAACGTATACTTAAACGCAGTCTGTATATGCAGAATTTTGTCGATTACAGGAGTCCTCAGTGTTGCTTACTACACTGTTGCCACTCATCAATGCCTTTTCATAAACTTACCCTTTCAACCCTTTCAATAGATTTTAGCTAAATATAAACTGCTTAGTTTTCAACAAAAACCTTATTCAATATTAAATTTCAAATATTTTAAACACATTTTGAATAGGAACCCTTNTACACTGTTGCCACTCATCAATGCCTTTTCATAAACTTACCCTTTCAACCCTTTCAATAGATTTTAGCTAAATATAAACTGCTTAGTTTTCAACAAAAACCTTATTCAATATTAAATTTCAAATATTTTAAACACATTTTGAATAGGAACCCTTTATCTTTTTTACCATCTGTAAAACTGACGAAGTGGCAACCATCTAAAGAAGGAGAAATCAGCTGACACGGAAAAATCTAAATCCGCAGATTTCTGCGCTACGGGCTACAACTACAGAAAAATTCTGCGGTGTTGAGTTTTCATTTACATGGCGCTGTTGAAGTGTAAGAACTGCTTCTGCTTACCGACGAAGGATTTAGAACGAATAAAGTAAACACGTTTGAGTTGTATAAAAACGTATTATTAAGGTTTCTACTTTTACAAACACGTAAGCGCGTAACTTGTACTTTTAAAACATAAAATATATATATATATATATGAACGGCAATCGGTAAGTGGTTGAACGCTGAAGGTTTTAGCTTTAAGCCTGCTGTTGTTGTTGAAGGTTTTACACTTGTGTTGCTCGTACGCTGTCTAGAGTCCTTCTGTCATGGCCGACGAAAATATGTACCAAAGTTGGTTGCAGTTAAGGCGTATTAAACATACATTTTGGTTGCAGTTCTTATTCGCGGTGTTGCCACTTTCAGCAAACTACCAGGGTTGCTAACGCCCCGCCCCCCGTGAATTCTCACAGGATTTACCACCAACTTCTAACTTTGCTAAGCGCGAAACTGGTCTGCGTAGTAGTCCGCTCTTCGTTCGCGACTCCACGATACGTACTTGTCCGTCTTTGGCGAGAAAAACTTGAGTTATGCGGCCGCGTACCCATTGACTACGGGGCAGCGTTGAGTCGCACAATATCACCAGGTCGTTCGCTTGAAGCGGTATTGCTTTGTCCTGCCACTTAGTACGGCACAATAGCTGAGGCAGGTACTCGGTTGTCCATCGCTTCCACAACCGGTCCTTGAGGTTTTGCGCGATTCTCCACTGCTTCCTTAGGCAAATCTTCTCGTCAACTGGGTGCGGCGTCTGCGTTGAATTAACGCACCCCAACAAGAAGTGATTGGGTGTTAACGGCTCATCTTCTTCATGGCTTATAGGCAGGTCAGTTAGCGGTCGGGAGTTGATGATATTCTCCGCTTCTATTAACACGCTGTGCAGAGTGTCGGGTCTTGGGGCTACCTCACGCAACGTCTTGCTTAACAGCGACTTTATAATCCTTATCAAGCGCTCCCAGCAGCCACCCGAACTGGGGTTCAGCGGACAGTTAAATATCCACTCGATGTTGTGTCTGCCAGCCTCGGCTTGAATGCGGTCAGTGTCTAACAACTGCTCAGCTGCCCTCAACTCCCTTTGTGCGCCAATAAAATTTGTCCCATTATCACTCCTTATTCTGGACGGCGTTCCACGTCGGTTTACAAAATTCCGCAGGCACAAAATGAACGCATCGGTACTCAAGTCGGCTCGAACTGTCAGGCAGGTGAATATAACGCCCAACCTTTTCTCCTTGCGCCTCCCGATGGTGACGTTAATAGGGCCAAACAAGTCGACGCCTGTGTATGTAAATGGGCGTACGAACGGAGTAATGCTGTCGACCGGCAGCTGACCCATCATAGGTTGGTTTGGCTTTGCTTTGTCGATCATACACTGTTGACACCTTTGCTGAACTGCCTTGAGGAGCGGTTTCAAATTCGGTATCCAAAACTGTTGTCGGATGGTATTAATGGTGATGGCGGAATTCTGGTGATGATTTATTTTGTGAAAATGTTGTACAATCAGGGTTGACACGATATGTTTGGCAGGCATTAATATCGGTCGTCGTGCTTGCATTGGTAGGTATGTTGCCTCGTCGATGCGTCCGCTCAATCTTAATAGGCCACTTTGTTCGAGATACGGCGAAAGCTTATACAGCGAACTTCTTTTGGCGATTTTACCGCCGACTGACAAACCTGCGATCTCGCTCGAAAAGCATTCTCGTTGGACTAGTTCGCATACCATATGCTCTGCTTTCTTTATCTCTGTTGCTGTGAGGCTTGGCGACATGGGTGTTGTACTGTTGCTCTGTTTTCGAAATGGTATTGTTGCTCGCATCACCCAGGCTGTTGTTCGTAATAGCTTTGTGAAGGAGCTAAACCGTGAAAAATTTATGACGGCACTGCCGTGTTGCACCACCAAAACTGGAACGGATATTTCTTCTGGGAGTACTGGTGACGCTGTGATCGTGGCCGTGGGCCAATACTCTTCGTCGTGCTGCAAGAACTCGGGGCCTTTTACCCAACGGCTGCTACTGTCGAACTTGGGTGGGCACAAGGGGCGTGTTGCTACGTCTGCTGCATTTTGACAAGTTGACACCCATCGCCAATGCTCTTTTGCCGTTGTGCCGAGAATCTCGGCTATACGATGGCCGACGAACGCCTTATACTTTCTTTCCGACGAATGCACCCATTGCAGAACCGTCTGGGAGTCGGTCCAAAAAACTGCTCGCCCTATGTTGAACTCGTGGCTGTCCTCGATGAGCTTGTACAAGCGGGTGCCCAATACTGCGGCCTGTAACTCGAGTCTCGGGATCGACATCAGTTTCGCTGGTGCTGTGCGTGTTTTGCCCATAATGAAGCGAACGTCAACTCCATTAATATGAAGTACTCGAACGTATACTACCGCAGCAAATGCGACTTGACTAGTGTTGGAAATAACTAATTTTAAGAGCACTGCTGCTCAATACAAATGAAACTTCTACTTTGTACTATGTATTAAGCAAGCGAAACGCTTTAAAAAACTTAGTTTTTATTTGTATGTAAAGATTACTTCAATCGTACGTTAATGAATTTTCGATTTTAAAAGAAAAAACTAGTGAGGACACTTGATACACAAAACAGTGTTGCATTTTTGTGTAGCCACCCTCCTTCGAGACGATGTTGCCACATTCTCCCCTCCGGTATTGCGATCCATGGGAGAAAATACCTTCATCTAGGCAACAGTGTCGGTGCTATTTCGTCTGATGTCTAGCAGTGCTATCTTTGCAGCTGGACGGTGGTACTCGCCGACCGATATGCGAACAGTAGCGCTTCTTACTTGGCCCTCTTTGGAGGTATATGCGTTGGTTACAATACCCTTTGGCCAGACGTGTCGAGGAAGATTAGGGTCTATGATGATTACCACGTCATCCTTTTCGATTGGTTGCGTATGGTCGAACCATTTTGACCTTCTGGTTAGAGTTGGAAGCACTTCGGCTACCCATCGTTTCCAAAACATGTCAGCTAGGTACTGTGAGTGGCGCCAGGAACCTTTAACATATTTGTCTGTTGAGCAGAATTTGCTTGGTGGTTTGCTGCCAGAGGAGCTACCCAGCAAAAAATGATTGGGCGTTAAAGCTTCTTGGTCGGCTGCGTCCAACGATAAGTAAGTAAGCGGACGACCGTTGACAATACTTTCCACTTCTAAAAGCAGATTATGTAGTTTCTCGTCTGTTAGCTTGGTGTCCGGAGTAACGATGTGGTACATTACGTTCTTTACTGAGCGTATCAATCGCTTCCAGGCGCCGCCCATGTGAGGATTTGCTGGTGGAATAAAAGTCCATTTGCATTCCGTGGTTGTTAGTTTCTCCTGTAGAGCATCGAAATCCAATTCTTCGTAGGCTTTACGTAACTCCTTCTCAGCTGCAACCAGGTTAGTACCATTGTCGCTGAATATTTCTATGGGTTGACCTCTTCTGGAAATGAAATTTCGTATCGCCATTACACAGGAGTTCATGCTGAGTGAGTGTGCCACTTCGATGTGGATGGCGCGGCAGGTCATACAGGTAAATAACACGCCGTATCTTTTTTCTGTACGCCTTCCAATTGTCACGAAGAACGGGCCGAAGAAATCAATACCCACGTAAGAAAATGGTCTCGTATATGGCGCCAAGCGTCCTTTAGGTAGTGGTCCCATTTCAGGCGGATGCGGGTTTGCGTTGCGCAACTTGCAGGACATACAGTTTAGGCGTACAGATCGCAGAGTTCGACGTAAGCTCGGGATGTAAAATCGCTGAAATATTTCATTGAGGACCGTGTCATGGTGGACATGCTGATATTTTCGGTGGTACCAATCAATTATAAGCTGTGTGATCTTGTGAGTTTTTGGCAAAATGACTGGGTTTTTTTGCCGAATCTTCTATGGGAGCCCTTTCCAAGCGGCTGCGCATACGAACTATTTCGTCATCGTCGAGAAATGGTGATAGCTTTCTTAGCGAACTAGACTTCGGCAATGTGCATCTAGGGTCTTTTTTCAGATTAATGATATCGTGGTGGTACGCATCGGCTTGAGCAAGGCGGTAGAGGAAACGGCGGCTCCAGAGAAGCTCGTCGCCGGTCAGGTTGGCTGGCTTGGACGACGGATTAACTTGTAGACGCCGTTTACTCCTGCAGTTTTCGATAAAACGTCTTACGTAGGCTACACATCTCTCCAAATGTTCCCATTTGGAAAATTTGTTAACATCAATGATAGGCTTAACGTTGAATTGAACGGCACATTGTAACCATAGATTCTCTTCTTCCTTCGCAGAATTAATCTTGCACGTAACAGACTCATACTTTGGCCACCTTTCCTGTGGCAGCCGTAAAAAATCCGGGCCGGTAAACCATGCATTAGGTGGAGCAAATTCATTTGTATTTTTCCATTTGGTTGCTGCATCCGCTGCGTTTTGTTTGGTGGTCACGAAATGCCATTTTGATATGTCTCTATTTTCTTGTATTTCAGCTACCCTGAACATTACGAATTGTTTGTATTTACGTGGATCGGAACGCAGCCAAGTCAGTATTGTTTTTGAATCTGTGTAAAAATGTGTATCGTGAATTTCGAAGTCATGCCCTTGAACAATCGCATTTGCTAGGCGTGATCCTAGAACCGCTGCGGTCAATTCCATTCGCGGTATTGATATTGGGCGCAAAGGCGCAACCTTAGTCTTCGAGCTGACTAGAGCCACATGAATTCCGTGATCGTTCAAAATCCTGAAATAGGCCACAGCTGCGCTTGCAGACTCGCTTGCGTCCACGAAAACATGTAGCTCGACTTTACAATCATCGTTTTTAAAGTTGCCAAAGTAACATCTCGGAATTTTCACCTCGCAGACATGCTTAAATATTGAGAGCCATTGTTTCCATCTGCATGCAAATTCTTCAGGAATTGTGTCATCCCAATTAATACCACTTCTCCGTATGTCTTGCAACAATGTTCTTATGCAAATCGTATAAAACGACAGAAATCCTTGTGGGTCATATATTGACATCAGCAGTCGGAGTAGTTCCCCCTTAGTCGGTAGTCTTTCGGCTCTTAAGATTTCGTTGCTTGCCTTGGTAAACTTCGTGTTAAATGTGAACACGTCGTTGCTCGTTTGCCACCACAACCCGAGCACCTTTTCTGGTTCTACCACTTGGTCGATTGTTTTCCCGGCTTTACAGAAATCGTTCATAGGTTCAGTCTCGCCGAGAGCGTAAACTACCTTGGCGCAGTTTGAGACCCAACCTCTGATGTGAAAGTTACCGCGATTATGCACCTCCTTTACATCTCTGGCCAGCTGGATGGCTTCTTGTGGACTATCAGCGCTGTCCAACATGTCATCCACGTAATGCCGTTCAATTATTGACTTGGCAGCCCTTGGAAACTCCTGTAAAGATTCTTCCGCGTTTTTAACTCTGACGTACTGTGCGATTGATGGTGAGCAGCTGGCTCCGAATGACATAACCTTCAGGACGTAGACATCTGGCGCTCGAGAGTCATCGCAATCACGCCAAAGGAATCTTTGTGCATGCTGATCCTCCTCGTCTACACTGACTCTGTGAAACATTTCACAGATATCCGCACAGATGCCGATCTTACCGATGCGAAAATTGTAAAGGATATTCGTGAGCGGTCTTAATAAATCAGGTCCTTTCTCCAGGCATCCGTTTAGAGAAAATCCTTTGTAGACAGCAGCAGCATCCCAAACCAATCTTGTCTTTTTTGGCTTGTTGGGGTTTCTAACCGAAAATATAGGTAAATACCATTTACGCTTATAATCCATATGGACTTCACATTCATTCAGCTTGCGAATGTACTGCTTTTCCTTCATGCCATGTATGTGCGCGATTACCTTCTCTTTAAAGTCAGAATCCTGGTTGAGCTTCTTCTCAAAGCACTACAGTCGACGCTTCGCCACCTCGTAATTGTCTGGCAGTGATATATTACTTGAACGCCAGAGTAGCTTAGTCGTAAAATGGTCGCCGGTGCGTTCGACGTATTTGGCAAGTCGATTTTTATCATGTTCATATTTTAAATCGCATGGTTGGCTTTGTATATCTGCGCTTTCATGTTTCATGCTTTCAATTAGAAGCTTCTGGATAGCTAAGTCATCGTCGCATTCACATATGTGTAATTGCAAATCATCGCGTAGGTTCTGTTCGTTATATTTTAAAACACCGTAGATTGTCCATCCCAGACGTGTTTTCGTTGCGGCTGGCTCATCGATCTTGCCCTCCCTGAACTTCATGGGCATTGCTACGTGCTTGTTACTTAAGCCAATTATCATTTGGGGTACCACATCTTTGTATGACTGTACTGGCAGCCCCCTGAGATGTTTATATTTTTGCGAGAGTTCTGGCATTACCAAAGTTTGCGGAGGCAAGTCAAGCTTGTTGACTGTGCGTACGTCGCGCAACGTATACATCTTATTTTTTGCTTGAGCTGACACTTGCAAATTGATTAGCGCGGAGTTTTCCTCAACACGAACAGAACCATCAGTCCAACGCAACCAAAGCTCGGATTCTTCACCCTTCAGTTGCAACTTCTTGATTATATCATGTTCTATGATTGTAGGGCCTGATCCATCGTCCAAAAGTGCATAACTGTCCACAGTAGCATTCCGCGAGTGAATTGTAATAGGCAAAATACGATACAAAACATTCGAATATTTTTGTACATGTATCCCCACAATGTTTTGTGGAGTGCTATCGTTGCTTGACATCGGCTTGTGCAACAGAGTATGATGTTTTGCTACACAATTACACAATTACCGCATTCTCGACGTTCGTTACAAAACTTGGGATCGTGTGGCTTAAGGCACGACCGGCATAGCTTCATGCGGTTAACCATATTCCATTTGTAATTGTATGACATTACCTTGAATTTATTTCAATTTGCGATAAAATGGTTTTCAGTACACACCGAGCATCTGCGCGAATCTCGCTGACGCCGCTCATTTTCCGCTTCACGATTTTCCTGATGGAAGCCAACACGATGTGCTTTACGCCTTTCTTCTTGTTGGCCGCCACCTACGGGTATTGTTATAACGGTGCTGGCAGCATTTGCCCGTACAGACA